CGGTGTGACGGGGTGTGCTCGCATGCAGGTAGCTTTCACGCCTTTTAACGTGTAACAAACGCGCAGAGATCACGCGACGCGGTGGGCGGAAGGGCTACCCACGCCGACACTAATGCCGGCGGCGATCGAGGCGGCGGAGAGGCTGTCGGGCAGGAGGTGGTGAGGGTGGCAATGACGGAGTCGATGATAGTGATGAAGAGCGGGCGGATTTTAATGAAATATGGTTTATTTTCTTTTCACTTTAGAACAATGCCGTTTAGTATAAAATTAATATTATGCTATGAAAAAAAGAAATTACCCATTTTATTTTATTTATTTATTTATTATTATTATTATTATTATTATTATTATTATTATTGCTTTTTTTTCTTTGATTTTTAAAACAGTTTTCGCTGATTTAATTGTAATGGTATTTGCTTCAAATAATATTTACGAGATGTATTAAATGTTCTCCGCAGAATTCCTGAGAGCCCTATTCAATTTCTTCGCTCAGAAATTGTTATATCAGCCGTTTTGAGTACAATATAAGTTTCCTGTGACGATTATCAGCGCCATGGCCGGTTCAGCCGAATTCTAGATAACTTAAGATAGAGAATTTGTGTGACAGAACAGTCTAAAATAAAAGTTTTGCAAGGCCATGTTCAAGTTCGACAAAATCCGCCCCCTGGTGATTATGATGACGGTGCAGGTTATGGTAAGGGTGGAGTTGATGCTGTTAAAAGTGCCGGACGGGTAGGGGAAGTTGAAGTTGTTATGGTATTGGTAGTAGTGGCGGAGTTTGTGATACTGGCTCCAGTGGCGTCGGCGTGTGTGGCAGCCGCATTAATTGCATTACCGGTGCCATGGGTGACCTTGATGGCTGCAGGGTTCGTAGCGGAGGATTTTGTGGTAGTGGGAATGTTGGTAATAGTTGCGATGGAGATGGCAAAGGCGGCAGCGGTAATTGCGTCGTTGCAGATGACGTGTGATTGATTGATTGGTTGATTATTTGAGATAACTGCTATAGGTATTAGTTTCGTTAGTGTAATCATGTTTCTGTCTTCGGAAGATTGTTGTGATCTTCCCCTACTGGATGGTGAGATCTGGTGTCGACATACACGTCGGTTAGCGGGATCTCTCCAATCACTCATCTCCCCCAGATGGCAACCGCTTCAGCCGGCAATTTCCGGAGAGGTGTCTCAGGGCATCAACTAATGTCACTGCCATGCCTCTGACGTCGAAGGTCCTACTTTCGAGACAGGACGGTGGCAAGTTTTTTTACATTAGCTAGGTAGAGTTAATTTGCTGTCTGGAGGAGGATTCTAGAGGTCTACTGCTCTGATCGATAGTTTTCCAATGTTTCTCCGAACAATACCAGACGAATGCCGGAGCAGTTCCCTAACAAATAGATCATAGACCGCGCACTATCTTTCCTTCCTTTTCCTTGTCCTACCCCTCGCTAACACTCACTCTTTACATGCATTGCACTACCACACATGCCGGGTGATTAGAGTTTGTCCCGGCTGGAGCGGTAACCTTATTTCATTGCATTGATAATATGATTTATTTTGCAGAATTTCTCTGACACGAACCTATTTATCGAGATTCTATTCCGAAATAAATAAAATATTGAATGAGTGGATGTTTTAATTCATTACTTTCATAATAGGATTTAGTTTATTTACTAATGTTACAGAGTTATTACTTAATAATTCAGAGTTGTAAAGATGAGTCTAATGGTTTAGTTCATATCTTCTGGTTAACTAAGTGTTTTATGCCACTATTCACAATAATAAATCATAATTTGTTTTATCCGCACAAATGTGATGACGAGCAGCTTTGTACAGACATGTGGCGGCTGGAATACTGTGCTACATTGCTACATCATGATATTGGCATTATACTGACCCACATTCTGTAACGTCTCGCCCATCTCGTCAATTATTTATTCTTAATTCATCATGAGTGACGTTTGTAGTCAACGCAATCCAATGACTAATATCAAATTATGTAATCAAGTTATGTCAGTTCCCAATTCTCGGTACTCCTATTTAAATCGTAAAGCCATACATTATTACTCCATTTTCCTCAACACAAGTGGAAACCCGTGCTATTAAAGCCAAATTGAATTTTACTTGCCCGGGTATTTATTTATCATGTTCATCTATGAAAACAGGAAAAGGAATGAATTATTCTTGTAGTGTATCTCCATCCTCGCTTGCCCTGCCTTACAACGAACTACCCAAATCCACCTTGCTCCTTGCCACACTACTCCTTATGCTGACTCGCCTGCTGAATCCTATCCTTCTGTATGCATTAAAATTTAGTGCTGTTAATGCCTTTATGTTATTATTAGGTCTTTTAAAATCCCACGGCGTTGACTTAGCAACATAGTATGTACCTTAGATTACTCGTGTAATAACTACGCCAAATGTGTTTTCCAGCAGTTGTTTTGTAATAGGTTTCGCCGTTGACTCGACAAAACTAATAAAATTGGATTTTTTACAATTGAATGAATTAATGTTTGGAAATAAGATGTTTTTGCCGGAGTATTTTGATAGAGAAATAAATTAGAGACGCGTACTTTTTCTTATATAATATCTTTTAGTGTGAATAATTGTTCAATATATATTTATGTGCCCAGAATTCTAGTCTTCTAAATATAATTTGCAATACTACAGCTCACCAGTCAATGCACCAATAAGAGACACTAGGAGTGTTACAGTGTGAAGTTGCATGTGTAACAAATTTATATTTATAAAAAATAAATAACTATGTACTAAAAAACTCAAATTTTTATTTATAACTCTGTAAAGCTGAGTCAACCATACAAATAAAGAATAGTTTCTGTCATTTAGAGTTTCAAATAGGTTTCCTGTTAAGATAATGCTCAGTATGAATTAGACATACTGTTTTAGCACTAAGCGTAACCAGAGTATCAATCAATTTAGTCTCGAATGTGGTAGTTGTAGAGTTACTGTGAAAATATTTTGATTTTTAATTGATAATTTTTATTACAAAATTACTCATAAAAATGACTGGCTTGAGACAGTAACAAGATAAACCCCACTGGCCACAGCAAGTTCTTTCGCTCTTCTGACCAAAACTGAAATGTTGTCACTAACAAATAGTAAAACCGACTGATACTGGTATGATTTATCTCGTTGCAGCCATAAAATGAGTATTTTTTTGTAATAGTACATATTTTTAAATAGATAAGTGTTGACTTGAGTGCATATTCTTATCTCTATCTTTTATATACTTTCAGGTTTCGTGTACGTAATGCATAAGTGTTGATTTGGATGCATATTCTTATGCCTATCTTTTATATTCTTTCAGGTTTCGTCTTCGCCGGCTGCTTTTCACGAGGTTTGTACTTGCCAACGGCCACCGTGAGGACGTCATTATGTCGACGGGTAGACATAGCGTTGGTCAGCGCCAAGAAGGCGAATTTGTGTCACGAACGCAGAGCCAGATAAAAATCTTAAGCGGCCTTAAATGTGGTGAAACTATTGCCTCTCATAATAATCGTGAAATATTGAATGAAGTAACAAATATAAATTTAAAATGATAAATTTTGCTCTTCAAAATATTAAAATATGCATGTGATCAAATAATTTCGAATATTTTTGTTAACATTTTCTACGTCAAGTTTTTAAATTGCATAGAAGTATGTTTGAAATTTTCAATCAATTAAATTTGGTCTTAGTAAACTAGTTACAAGTTGTTTTTACATATTTATTAACAAGCAAGAAATTAATTAGTAAATAAGTTATCCTTTTTGTGTCGGTACAATGACAATTTTAAATAAACACATAAATAAAACAATGGGAAAAGTAAAGTTTTTGCTGAGCGTTTCGACAATATATTTACTTTATCATCAAGTTCATAAGATTATTTTCAATAAACAGCACGAAACGACGGTATTATAATAAAACAATTGCGATATAATACGGACGTTTTTTGTTTAATAATCGTATTAACTTGATGAATTGTAAACAAATTCTAAACGTGCAAAAATTTATAAGAATAAATAATGTGAACACAATTTTTTCCATACATTTATTTATGTGATTATTTAAAACTGTCAATACGCCAACAAAAAAAGGATAGTATATTTACTTATTAACAAAACCAACGTTGACTACAATCAATAAGACAAATTTAATAGAAAAGTTTTTATTCTTAAAACGTTATTTTGGGTTTCTGTGTGGACTTGGGCACGTGCTTGGTCCGCTGTCCACCCTAGCAAGGCAAGTACGGAACTCTCGTTAAGTTTCCCACTAATAAGGAAGGACCGTCTCATCTCGCCTCGAACTACTTTGCGTCACTTGAGGATATTGATAATACATCAGCCCGCCGTGGCCTATAAGTTATGCAAGCCCGCATTCGCAGCGTGACGCACGAACGTACCTGTCGTCACGACAGCCTGGATTGTATTGTCTCCGGTGGGAGTTATGTAACTAAATGTGGTTGGTCTGCGGTTTAATGTTCGAGTTTGTTTCGTGTTATGCAAGTTTCAGTTCACGATCCTTGCTATTGTTACTTTTTTCAATCGTTCTCTTTGCATTTGCCGGATTGTCTTTGTAAAACATCGACATACTCTGCTTTAGCTAAAAGATATATCTACACTGGTAATTTCTAATGTAATGCCTGTGCTCCGTTTGCCCTTATTTTTGACTTGATGTTGAATATAATTTTTTTATAAATAGGGCTCTAACTCTGAGAGCATACTTCTCCATGCTCAAGAAACAAATTGATTTCAGTAGCACTTTTCTATTATTGAAAACCTCGGATATTTAAAGAGTAACTAATCAAATTCTTACGTAAACTTGATGACCTTTGACGAAACCATAAAAAGTCCGCCCTTTTTAACTTACATCTCATACCAAATTTACAAAACAGAGAATATTAAATGAAATTAAAATATCCGCATTGTATATTAAAATTTCTTGTTTTCAGCTTTACTTATATAATCAACATTGTGAATGAGAGTCACTTATTGCGATAACATTTCATTCTACATCCATGATTAATTCTTAGTATTTCAAATGTTTAATTCCTTCCTTTAAAAATAATAAATTTATCACTGGTTTATGAACACATTTTTCTCATGGCTTTTTTATAACCAAAATTGCAAGATTTTACGAAAATATAAAAGAATTATGTTGCAACAAAATGTTTTTGTTTGATATTTGTTTGAATTTTATTATTTGTTATTTACTTTTTCTTAAATCGATATTTTTCGCATAGTTAGCCCAGACAGTTCGGTAAATTATGCTAAACAAAATCAGTTTTGAACAACATGTTTTACAAAATCAGCAAATGATTAAATTAAGATTCTTAATATGCTTAATTAAAATAATCTAATGAATATAATGAATTTTGATGTGTGTTCAAGCCTCAATGATTACTTCTCATGTACTGCTTACGTATAGAGGCTTAAATTGGACTCCATTTTTTGGTTATGTGGGTATGTGGCGATTAAAATATATGCTTAAATAGAACTATTTTGGTATGTGGCTGGGACATTTGTACTAATTTATGCCAACTCATTTTGTAATAATGTCAGAATTCATGAATGTTATGAAACTTCTTATGATCTGAACTACAATTATTTAAGTTAGCAATTTATGAATTTCGCATCTTCCAAAGAAGATTCATTCGTTATTATGATTCCATTGACTTAACATAGTCGCACCTGAAGTAGACAAGGATTAAAATTTCACTGGATATGTGATTATGACGTTGCGATGTAAATGATCGAGCAATAGAAGATAGAGAAGCAGAGGAAGCTGGACGTCCCTGAAAAGCGAAAGAAATCCTGCCTCAGACCCGCTTTGTTAAGTACAAATTCCAGGTACATTGATCTGAATTTAAACTCAGTCCTAACTGTGGAAGGCGAGAGGTCTTATAGCTACCCCAAGGCCCATCGTTTCGGACGTTGTCAAAATTGATCACAGCTCAAAAAGGAAATTGGCATTGTACGTAATGTGAATATCAGGCAACCGGAATGCACACTTCACAGATCACAATATGCATGTTATATAACATGTAACAATCGGTTTCTTTGTAAGATGACTTTTACTGCCGATAATCAAATATATATTTCATTTTATTCAGCGGTTTTTAAGACTACAATTGAAACAATTAGCTAATACTAAAATGAAAGAAGTATCCACTACGAAAATAGCAAGTTTGTGCATTAATACTTGATCAATTGAAAATGCATTAGTGAAAAACAAGTTAATATCGTCACCATCAAATAATACATGTCGCAAAGTTGGCCCAGATAGTTTGGTAAATTGCTCTAAATAAAACCGATTTTGAACGATCAGTTTTTATGAAATCAACAAATTATTAAAATAGCGATCTTATTGATGAGTAATTACTATGATCTCAAATATTAACGAAGTAATATATGTATGTAATGGCACGATTTCATAAAAAAAAACTGCCGGAAATGAAAATTGATGTTTCACGTTTTTCATCAAATACTTGTAATAATAAATTCAATATTAGCAGAGCCAACACGTCACACACACATTAGGACAAAAAAAGCAATAACAACACGTAATACATGCTATCTGCGGTCTCAGCATGGGCTGTAATTGGTTAGCAAGTTCATAGTCTGCGTTGAGCTTCCTGCTGCCTGCTGAGTCCCTCACCGTTCGGGTGGGAAGGGGTTAATTCCCTGGCTAATTGCCGGGTGTCCCCCGTGCGACACGTCTACGTGTTTAAATATTCCCGTGTAAAATTATGCAAATGCGCTTGAAATTTACCGCCATTTTTCTTGATCAGGAAGCACTTAATTAACTGACAAAACAGCGCGCTTCGAAGATGTAGCTAATATAATGCTCTTGTGAGTATAGAGGACAGAGTAAATTATGATTACATCAGTTGAGTAGTATCTTTCGTAGGGATGAAATTTCTCGATTTGTTCGAAATTATAGATGGCAAAGGATGTTATTTTACGACGTTCGTACTAATACCCTCGTTCCGATATCAGGGACCGGCTCAACAGTGGTTGTCACTGAAGCGTCTCTGATCAGTAAGGCCTGTGGTTCTAGCCCTGACGGTGGCGATTCTCGTTTCTAGCTAGATACATAGGTAGAATTCAGCCGTTGCCTGAGAGAGAATTTCAGCGGCTGGCTACTCGGGTGGGTTCTTTTTCGTTGTTTATCCTATTAATGCTACGAGAATGCCTGAGTATTACTGTAACAAACGGGCCATTGAACTCCCCTTTCTCATCCTTTTCCCGTTCTTTCCCCTTACACACACACAAACAAACTTACACTTACATGCCCAGAAATATAGAGAGACCAGTCGGGAGCTTACAACTTGACCTGTCTGGTACAGGAGAACTAACTGGAGAGGGAAGATCGCTAACCGACACCACGTGTAGATCCCTACCAGTTTTCACGTTCTGGGGAAAGAAACACCGCCACATCCCGAGAATACTATGCACTATACTTACGGGTTTAATAACCATAGCTGACGTGTCCGGAAACATTTAAGAATAAATTAATCAATGAAGATCAATCAATATCAACAAACAATTCTAGTTGTTAAGGCGATAGCTTCGGAACGATTTCGAATCGAAAGATTGCAAACTTGAATCTCGCCTTCGAAGATTTTATTTGGATTTACTGAAAGGGAAATTAGAATTATTGCCAGCATTTTAGGAATTAATTTCGTAGATTTTTCGTTTAATCTTCTATGATCATCTTTGCAACAATCATTTTTTCACATTGTCTCGGTATAAACGTGTCGGTATTCATACCTCTTGTTTCATATTTGATCGTAGGAATACAACATTATAAGATGAAGTAAATAAAAAGCTTGGAAAACTCGAATATTACTACTACATCACCTGTGAAAAGCATACACATCATTCCCACAATACATGAAAATGAAAGCTAATTTTATAAAATTTTGACATTGTTTAACTACTAATGAGTATTGTTTTAAACACGCGTATTCGAAACAACAAGTAACAAAACATTCAACAGAAGTAGTAAGCAACAATCACTGCCGTATTTCTCCGTTCGAAATATATTCATTGTTCTAAAGTGTTTACATTTTTTGGACCCCTTTGAATACTCATCAGAGCAGACACGAGCAGACGATCTTCCTTCCTAGCGCCATACCTGAGCACGTGCCATATCTAAGCACCAATGTGTAATAGGCTCACGGCTACATTTCTCACAACTAGCGCCGCCCTTCTAGACTTCTGGAGATGACGGTGCCGTCCGCCACGACGACAATGAATAAGACGGTAGTACGAAGTGAAATGAAATAAATAAATTGAAAAGTTACAAAAAGAAGATAAAAATAAAGTCGAAAATGAAGAGAATGGAACGGAAAAC